TTGGTCCTTAGAGCTCATCTAACCAAATTGTACCCATTTTTCATACTAGGAAACTGAGGCCCAGAGATAGGAGGCAGCTTGCCCCTGGTCATACAGCAAAAGTTAAGATCAGACTTTTCTGACCCCGAGTCCAGAGCCTTTTTCTTTTGTTGATTTTTATTGTTGTTGAAAATATACACAGCAAAACATACACCACTTCAACAATTTTTACCTGTATAATCCATTGACACTGACATTCTTCAAGTTGTGTTAACCATTCTCACCCTCCTTTTCTGAATTGTTCCTTCCCCATGTATGTACTCTCACTGCCCCCTAGGTTTCCTGTCTGGCCTTTTGAGTTGCTGTTGTCAGTTTGATCCCATATAGATCATTCATTAGAAGAGCACAATGCTTAGGGCAGGCATACCTTAACAATTAAGGTAATCTGTTGTTTGGTTTAAAGAGGACTTTAGGGGATGTTTTTGGATTAAGGTTTAAAGATTATCTGAGGGCAATAGTTTTAGGGTATAGGCTCCAGAGAGTTTGGATTCTATGAGATTTTGAAATTCTTTTTCACATTTCCCCCCCTTTTTGCCAAGACTCTGGCTATAGATTCTTTGATCAAAATATTCCATAGCAGGAGCAGGGCACCATCAAGTTCTTCTGGTCTCATGGCAAAGGAAGCAGTTGCTCGTGGAGGCCCTTAGCTACACATTCCGCTTCCTCCTCCTAGTCCTGACTCCCTTCTTCCTCTGTTGCTCCAGGCAACTAGAGACAGCTCAGAGGCCTTTTGCAATTCCACCCTCTCACTACTCCATGGTTCAGTTGTTGAGTGAATCCAGGTGCCGTCCGTACCTCCTGCTCATGATTCTTCCCAGGAGCGAACAAGAGAATGCCTGTGACCCTGGGATGGGGGTGGGAGGAGGAAAACCAGACCAGGGCTCCAGGAGGAAGGTGGCCTTTGCAGAGCAGCTGTGCTTGGAACTGAACTTGGCCCTTCCTCTCTCCACAGGACCAGCCGCCCTACAACCTCAAGGCCTTCTGCCTGTGCATCACCTTCCCCGAGGAGTATCCGTTCAAGCCCCCCACGGTGAAATTCACGACCAAGATCTACCACCCCAACGTGGATGAGAACGGACAGGTGTGCCTGCCCATAATCAGCAACGAGAACTGGAAGCCGTGCACCAAGACCCGTCAAGGTGTGGAGCGGGCACCAGTACTGGGCAGGGGTTACCGGACTGTTTGCAGTGGTAGTGGTGGTTTTCAGGTGCCATCGAGTCCCCTCTGACTCACGGTGATCCCCTGTGACAGGGTGGAAGTGCCCCACAGGTTTTCTCGGCTCTCATCTTCGTGGAAGCAGAACCCAGGTCTTTCTCCTGCAGAGCCATCGGGTGGCTTCAAACGGTCAGCCTTTCAAGTAGCAATTGAGTGCTTAACCATTGTGCCATCAGGGCTCCTTGATTTGTGGTTAGGAAAGCCCAAAAGGGGAGAAGAAATGATCGTGGGTCTCAGCTGAAGCGATCGTCAGGTAGGAGGGATGCTGCCAGAGACCCTGGATGGGTGACCTGCAGACGCACAGAGCGCCTTTGTCACGGGCCTTGGGAGAGAGGGGCAGCTTGGCTGCAGGGGAGGTGGCTCAGGACAGGAAGACCGGCTCTCTCTGTGACCTTGGGCAGGTCTTTTCCTTTCTGGCCTCAGTGCCCTCAGCTGAAGGGGGTTGGTCTCATGACGATGATCTCCATCACTGAGTGGAGCACTTTCAGCACTGAGCTCACACACTGACGTCATTTAAGCCCCAGCAACCCCATGAGCTAGTGCTCCTACTGACCCTGATTTATAAGGGAGAGGGCACAGAGGCGTGTGAGAGCGGAGGCAGCTGCCTGAGGCCACACAGCGGGCAAGCAGCAGAGCTGGGATTCGGAGCCCTGTTAGGCCGACCCCAGAGCAGCTGTCTGACAGCCCTTTCTGCCATGATGAGATGGCCTGCAGTTGCCCTGTCCAGTACAGTAGCCACCTACCACATGAAGCTGTTGAACAATTGAAATGTGGCTACTGTAACTGAGGAACTGCGTTTTTCTTGTTTTCGAACATACAGCAAAGATGTGTTTTTTCTCCAAAGACATAATTCTACAGTAAACACTGATGTGATTACCTAGTACTGCTCTGACAAGAATATACCACAAATGGGATGGCCTTAACAAACAGGAGTTGATTCTCTTGCAGTTGGAAAGGCTAGAAGTCCAAGTTCAAAGTGCCAGGCTCTAGGGGCTGGGTGAAAGCTCCTCAACCTTGGGCTTCAGCTCTGCCTCTTGCTCCCGGCCCACTGAAGCTAGAGGCCTCTCTTCACTCAGACAGCTGCTGGCCGCTGAGGCTAATAAGCCCAGGGTCGACAAATAAAATGGCACAGTCCTGATGTTACCAAACCACATGGCAGGCCGTTAATTAAAGTCCATTGTAAGTCCCAAGGTCAACAGAGCAGGCTGCTGAACAACAACACGGCTACATGTAGGGTCCAAGTGTGCCATAAACTGGAGACTATCCCCAAGATTTCTCCTTATATACAGGAAGCAGACCACATCCCAAAGCCAGCTACTCAGCTGCCTGTGGTAGATTCCACCATGGAGTTGAGTGCCAGTCTTATCATGGGGAATAACTACTACCAGCTGCCCAGCCACTCAACCAGGCCCAGACAAGCTGACATACAAACTTCACCACCACAACACACATATATCACCAGTTGCTGTCAAGTTGATTTCAACTCAAGGCGACCCCATGTCTAGGTAGAACTGTGCTCCATCGACTTCTCAGTGGCTGGTCTTTCAGAAGTCAGTCACCAGGGCTTTCTTTTGTTGTCGTTGTTGAAACATATTTATTAATGAAGATCTTGTTGTTGTTATGTGCTGTTGAGTCGGCCCCAACTCACAGCGACCCATCCTTGGGTTTCCGAGGCAGTATCACTACAGAAGTAGATTGCCCGATCTAATGAAGATCTTACCATACTGTATATATATTTTGTTTGTTTGTTTTACTTTTATTGTGGTAAAAACATACACAACAAGACATTCACCAACGTAACAACTTCCCCATTTACAGCTCAGGGATATTGATGACGTTTTTCATTTTGTGCCACCATTATTCCTACCCTTTTCCCAAACATTCCACCACCATTAGCATAAACTCAATGCCCCACAAACAAAAGCTTCCCCTTTCCTCGTCCCTCTCCAACCCCTGGTTGTTGTTGTTGTTGTTGTTGTTTGCCGTCGAGTCGTCCCCGAACCACTAATAATCTTTGGTGTATATATATATATAT